GGGTGGGGGAGGGGAGAAAAAAATTAAAAAAAACCAAAATTTTTTTTTTTTAAATTTTTTTGTTTTAATTTTGTGACAATTAAAAAAAATTTTAATTTAATTTTAATTTAATTTAATTTTAATTTAATTTTAATCTAATTTAATTTTTAATATCAGCCGGGGAAAAACGAGAAAATAGAAAAAAAAAATTTCAAATTTTTTTTTATTTTTTTTAAATTTTGGGACAATTTTTTTTTTTAATTTCACGATAATTAATTTTTTTAATTAATATCAGGACGATTATTTATTAATTTCAAGATTTTTTTTTTTTTTAATTTCAGGAATTTTTTTTTTTTTTAATTTTAATCTCATTTTTGGGGTGAAATTTCCCGATTTTTTTTTCCCCTTTTTTCACAGATTTTGGGCCAAAATTTTTTTTTAATTTCCTCATTAATTATTAATTAATTAATAATTAATTATTAACGACTCCAGGATCGGTCTGGGGGGTTCGTTTTGACCATGGACACCGAAAAAAAATCGTTAAAAAATCCAATTTTTTCGTCATTTTTTCCGGGATTTTTGTGCCATTTTTTTTTAAAAGTCTTAATTAATGATTAATTAATTATTAATTAATGATTAATGGTTTCAGGATCGGTCTGGGGGGGTCGTTTTGACCATGGACACCGAAAAAAATCGTTAAAAAATCCAATTTTTTCGGGATTTTTTCGGGGATTTTTGTGCCAATTTTTTCATAAATTTCTTAATTAATGATTAATTAATTATTAATTAATTATTAACGATTCCAGGATCGGTCTGGGGGGGTCGTTTTCACCATCAACACCGAAAAAAATTCCAAAAAAATCCAATTTTTTCCTCATTTTTCCCGGGATTTTTGTGCCAATTTTTACATAAATTTCTTAATTAATGATTAATTAATTATTAATTAATGATTAACGACTCCAGGATCGGTCTGGGGGGGTCGTTTTCACCATCAACACCGAAAAAAATCGTTAAAAAATCCAATTTTTTTGTCATTTTTTCCGGGATTTTTGTGCCAATTTTTACATAAATTTCTTAATTAATTATTAATTAATTAATAATTAATTAATAACGATTCCAGGATCGGTCTGGGGGGTTCGTTTTGACCATGGACACCGAAAAAAATCCTTAAAAAATCCAATTTTTTCGGGATTTTTCCGGGGATTTTTGCTACAAATTTTTTTTTAAAGTCTTAATTAATGACTAATTAATTATTAATTAATGATTAACGACTCCAGGATCGGCCGGGGGGGCCGTTTCGGCCGCAAGGGCGTGGCCATTAACATGGTGACCGAGGAGGACAAACGGACCCTGCGCGACATCGAGACCTTTTACAACACGGCCATCGAG